CGATATATCGTTATCGTATCGATATCTCGATATGAACATTCAAGAAATCAATATAAAAAAAGCAATGGTATAAACGATATATATATATATTTTTTTATATTTATTTGAATAGGGACAATGCACATTAATGAACATCAGTATAAAAACAAATGTAAATATGCCGGATTATAGCTACAAAGCTAGTTCTCATCCGTATTTCCCCCGCACTCGCCCTGCTTGTACAGCTGTGGAAGTCTCCATAAACATTTGGCCGATTGCCATTGAACGCACCACTACGGCCAGCCAACCACAAAGCTTAGTTCATGCTTGCTGTGGATTGACAGCTGAACCCAACCAATGACAAACATAGGAGGGTGGGACTTGGGAGTGACGGAGACGNTAAACACAGTGGTACAGAGCAACACAGGTGAGGCAGACAGGTATGCTGCCAAAGGCCTAACGGTTCTTCTGGAGGAAAATTGAGGCATACATAACACCTGACGTGGAAACGTTACTCGTGGACGGGGCTACAGAGCTACTAGAAAGACAGTGGAACCCGGTGCATTCCTCCGTCTGGATGTGGTGCACTTTTGCTAAATGTTTAGACAAATTGCTCGTGTTACCGCCCTTACATGCTAATGGCACTTTTGCCAACGAGCATTGTCCACATCGAGACGGGTAAAGTTTAACCTCACCTCAGAGTGCGTTCTCTCCGCCATCCCCGCTGTGTGTGTGTGTTGCTGCATGTAGCAGAGCGTGTGTGTGTAAACTGCCACGCCCCCTCGCACACAAACAGGGGAGAGAGAGAACTCTCGTCTGGATTGGAAAGATCGAAAATAATCAGACGCAATTAGAAACGGAGTTGGCGAAACTAAAACTGCAATATCATGATGACTTATTTTTTAGATGTCTCCAGTACCGATAAAAAGACAGATAACGTCGGAGCTTAACGGTACCACGGTCTTTAATAATTCAGCCCCGGGGCCCGTTTAATACCGGGGCTCGGTACCCATCCCTAGTGTAAATGTAGTTGATACTGCAAGAGGTGCAGAAGTGTAACGACACACTTGTTTTAATGACCTCTGGTAAAGCCTCCATTCAAAAAAACTATTGTACACACACTCAAACTTTGGAATGGTTTAAATTGTATTTCGGGACGTTTATAAAACATTTCAAGCCCTGGATGTTGTGCACCTATTAGCTAATTGCTGAGGTCGTTAGAATAACTTTTTCTAAATGTTATTTCATTTCCTTTGCAGATCTACGAGGGCACAGCTCAAATCCAGAGAATGATTATTGCCCGAGAACTCCTGGGAAAATACAAGAAGTGAACTCCTCACACCTAACGTCCCTTATTCAGATGTACTAATGTTGTGTTCCTGGGAATAGATCTGCTTATTTATACTCACAAAATGTTGTTTGCCTTATCAGCACTTAATCCGGGCCGAGCTTTGTTCACATTGATCCAGACTTTGCATCAGCCGTCCACTTTTCTAATCAGAAAACATCAGAACCCTTCAACACCTGTACTAGTTTGTTTTTGAAATGCATCGTAGAACTGTTGCCTTACTTTGAGACTGGATGGGTTTGGGATCACCACATTCAGGCAAGATGTCACACGACTGTCCTGTCAGGCTCCAAGCTCTGTAAATAATGTGAACCAGGAACAAATACAACACAAACAGATGAAGCATAATGAACTATGACAATGGTAGCCTTCTGATCCTTCTTGGAAGAAGCCAAGAATGTAATGCTCAAATTATAATGAATATGGTTTGAAAATAAACATCTAAAGTTTCAGAATGTACTATTTTAACGTTATAGGATATGCTTGTATTTAATCATGCCATGCAAAGATCAATAAACTATAGTCTTGACACAAAGCTGTATTGTTGTTAATATCTAGTATGATATTTTGGTGACTGTTTGAGGGTATGTGGATCATTCTAAACTCACAGTTCACAGGCCCAGTCAAAACAGACACTAGAGTGTCTCATTTAGGAGAGGAGGAGCCGGTTCAGCCCTTCCTTCATCCTTACACTGTGTGTGCTGCAACTCTTTAAGTACAGTGTTGGTTTGGTTCGCATTTTAATTAGCAATAAAAGCATGTCAAAAGAAAGATGTTGGTAATCATTTATCCAGGAACATTCTCAAAAATGTCCACTTCATGCCTCCTTCCAAAAGTTTTTTAAATGTCAGCAGAACCAGCTAAATATGTATCGATCTTTCTCACCAGTGTGTTAGAAACAAGTGAATGTGTGTGGCTTAATACTTTGTTTATCAAATGCATATTGCCTGAATATAGTTTTAAGTGATTAGAAATAAACAGTTGCCATCCAATATAGAGATGTATCAGTTTTACACTTGATCATGGTGATCCTATTCAGAAAGTAAGGACGGTTCGTTGGTCATTGTAACACATTTGTCACTTTTTGATGGCACATTACACTATAGTTAATTAATCTGATCAGTTTTTAAGTCTGTAAATCTATTTAATAAACTAACTGGTAAGAAGCTAAACATGCAATTATTTCTTATGTATAATAAGCATCGAACTTAATTAATAGTTTACATTTTTATTTGTTTTCTTCAACCACCCAATCAATATTGAGAGCAACCCATCCGGGTACTTTCCCCCTACGTTGTGGTCGCGCTACTCGTAGGGTGAATGTATCTGCTGTCATTTGGCTGACGGTAAGTAGGCTACGAATGCTGCTAAGCCAGAACAGGACCGTGCATTTTTTCAACTACATGAAGCCCAGGTAGGATGGTCAGTGAGGGAAAGGGGATCGATGTCCTTTCAGAGTAACAGTGAACGAGTGGCAAACAACACTTAAACAAAATAACACAAAACAACAGAATTTCTTTGACTTTAAAAGTGTTTATATATTTTAATGCTGCATCTAGATTCATCACCTTGACTTTTAACATTACAACTGTGCACTTTGACGACTGAGGGTAACCTCATTAGCATCATAATTGATGCTAACTGTGATCAAGTGTTTGTTTACAGTTTTCGTTTTCTCTGTGAACGGTCTGAAGCCAAAGATTTCTTCTATTATTCTCCTTTTTTTAATAATTGGAAGTAAAGAAACTCGTAATTCTGGAGCTTTTTGTTCTTTAAAGTGCAACACAGCATCTTGACGAAAGTATATTTTTCCGCTCGGTGCCGATTTGTTGTTTTCACCTGTAAAAGGGGGCGGGGCCGCGTGCAACCAGCAGCGACGCACTAACGTCATAGGAACGTGACGTCAGCTATGCGATGGAAGAACGATGACGTCATAGGGATCTACTTGCTTCTACTATTGGAACATTTGTGTTCATTCAGACACTTTTGAAGACAGACACTGCAGTCGGTCGGCAAAATCCTCCAGAGACAAGAATTAATTAATTTTATATTCAAAACTTAGACAAATAACCCGTGATAGCCATGGTGTTCATTTGTCTTGGTTATGTTGTGGGCGCTTATGTCACAAAGGGAGTGAAGGATTTTCTAGACCAGGGGTCGGCAACCTTTTTGATATGAAGTGCCATTTAAAAAAAAATAATTGATCAGCGTGCCAACGATCGAGAATTATCAACGGGGGGTGGGGGGGGGCGGCGTTGAGGAGCTTGACGCTCGTGAACTATCGCAGAGGCCGGGAAGCCCGGCGAGGAAAGCAGTGTGTCGACTGTCAGCGCACTTACATGATGCCGAATTTAACACATTCTTAAATAATTGGTTTAAACGGCATATATCATAAAGGACGATCGTCCGTTTCTGGATTTTCCAGAGCACACATCTATGTAGGATACTTAGGGTCATGCAGAGTGAGAATGACGATCGCTGATCACCTTTTAAGAGAGAGAGAGAGGGGGTCGCCTGTGATGAATGTGTGGAGGTGGTAAGCGACAGTGAGGAACGTGTGTATGTTTCTGAAGTGAAACGAGGAAGGTCAGAAAAACAGAGGTCTTGATGTATTTGGAAACAGAAGAAGCAGCTAAATAAATTCAGACGGCCTCGCAAGAGAGCTGTCACCTTCCTGCCAGGTCATTTAAGACTAAGTGGGTTTATGAACCTGAAGCTGTGCT